AAGAGAAGCCAAGAGTGTGCAAAGCTCTCATCAAGGCAAAGGGGGGCTCATTTGAAGAATCTAAAATAAAAATCATATTCTGGATTTTTTAACACTTTTTTGTTTACTAGATAATTCCATATGTGTTCTTTCATAGTTCTGGTGTCTTTAGTATTATTCTACAATGTAGAAAATTATTAAAATAAATAAAAACCTTCGAATGAGAAGGTGTCCAAACTTTTGACTGGTACTGTATATTTATAAAGTTACAACCCTTTGAGTGTAACCATAATGCTGATGAAATTGAGTTTGACCCCCCTGCAGTAAATGCTTGACTAGATTCACAGGCGCTTCTCATTTAACTCTCGCAAAAAAGCATATAAGTATTTTCCCAAAAATGATGATTTACTACTTAAAGAAATGTTATTAAAGGTCATCCTAGAGGTCCTTACTTCATTCAGTAAGGTTGTTTTAGCATTTGAACAAAAGACAAATATGTTATTTATTTTGTTTCTCAGTATTACTGGATGGTAGATTACATGTTACTTGTTAGACGCTTTTATCCAAAGCGACTTTAATACTCAATATGTGAACAATCCCCACAGGAGCAATTTGGGGTGAAGTGTCTCAGGGACACAACGACATGCTGACTGCAGTGGGGTTTGAACCTGTGCTACCCTGATCCGAACACCTACGCACTAGTCCACTGCGCCACACGCCTCCGTAGATGACTTTAGAAATCCTTGAGTCAAACAATTGCCAGAGTTAGAATAGTTTAATAAATCATGGGCTGAGCCAAACTATGTCCTCTGAATTTTCAGTATTTTAATTAAATAGTAATATTAAAACTATCCAGTATTTCAAAATCTGCCCAAAATCATAATCGTGACTCTGCAGAACGACTACAACATACTGGATGAAACCCTCGGACCTATACACTGGCAGATAAACATCTTAGATATTTGTAAATGCAGGTTAGAAGATGAATAAACATTTGAAAACCAGAACAACATGTTTCTTCTGCCGGCCGCGTTTTATCACAATTTTACATCAAGACAGAAAAGGCATAAATGAAACAGACTGACATGTCTAAAAGCCACCTTCTTTAAATGCCACATCGTGTTTTTGCACAAGCCACTGACAGGTATTATTTATCACCACTTCGTTCACCTTTCCTGTATGAATGCACTGCTTTCAGCCTCTTTTCTCTCCTGGACATCATAATTTTAGCATTCATTATCTAACCTTGACAACTTCTCCAACTAAGATGGAGATATTTGGAGAGATTATAAAGTGATAGATGCCTCTGAATGGATGACCTTGTTTTCACACTTCCCCTTCATCCATCAGCTCGTGACAAACAAATTGATATTGATCGTGCAAAAGTTGCTTTAAGGGAAAAAGGCTCACAATTCCACCATAAATTGTCACTCGCAAGTTCAGGAAATCATTTCAAGGTCCATAACTACATAATAATGTAACATCAATCCTGATTTTGTCTTAAGAACCACAGAAATGTTTCTCTGTCAAACTGATTGACTGTGATGTTGATAAAAGGCAAAAGGTACAATACAATAGACGAGCACAGAGGAGACAAAAGGGCACGGGTTTTTGTTACTTTTAAATAAATATATGCCAGGAATAATTACTTATGGGACAGTTTTATATTAAAATGTATGTATTTAAAACAAACCCATGACTGAGGTTAGTTAAAACACTGCTAAATAAAACGTAATAATGATACAAGCAACGAAATGAAGTGTATTTCTGTCAAATTAACTGACACAGATGTCCTGCCTTCATCGTACCAAGGCATTCGGCAGAACTACTTACCGGGAAATAAGAAGATGCTGATATTGTATGGCTAAGATTTACTATTACTATGTGCCAAGAAATGTGTTTAATATATTTGATATACCTTATAATACTAAGGCACACAATTCTAGAACGCAACACACACGCTTTGGATAAGGTGTATTGTTTAAAAACATTTTTGTCATCCCATCCGTCCCTCGCTCAAAAATTACCATTATTTTACAAAATGTATTTTCTTGTTTCTTGTTTCTTGTCCCCCTCAAACTAAGAGGGCATCACTGATAGCACTTATCTCTGACCTTATACCTTGATTTACTCAATATATCTGTTCCGCAGGGCAGGCTGTGCGTAAACATACATTTTAAGATTAGTCAAATAAAACTAAAAAAGGCTAAAAGGAGAGCAAAAGGTCTATCTCAGGTATATCTGTGCACGAGCCTAGGCCTGCATCCTGTGGCAGTGTATTTTTTTTTTTTGCTGTGTTAAACCAATGACTGAAGAAGTGCATTATGCTTTACTCACACTCACCTTACAGACCACCTGCCTGTGGAAGTTTGGTGTCAACACAAGAGTCAGAAGTACACAAGGGTTACACATTTTCAGTTCATAAGGCACGAGAAACAACATTTTTTTGCCATATTTGTTCATTTTTTTATTGTAAACCAAACCCTGAAAGCAGTGTCAGTATTTGGGAACATGGCAACAATATCTGGTTTTAGTTGTTTTTGTTCACCTTACCACTAACTAATCTTGAGAATGGATTGCAGGGATTCATCCATAACTTCCCTTTTACGACTGCAGTGATTCTCCTATAATCCCTTGCTTTTATTACATGGTATACAGTCAATTCGCTTCAGGAGTCAGATGCCGCCCTTGTTCTCACGTCAGCATTTCCTCTTTGCTGAGCTGGCTTCCAATGCATTTGATTAAAAAAGTCTTTAAATAACCTGCATTAAAGTGTTCTTGTATTAGCATCAGGTTCTGCGTCAGTACAAAAAAGAAAAGGCTTTTCAAAATCAAGGTCTCTGCCTCTTGAGAGGGACACATTCAAAAGGCAAACTGTCAGATTAAGTATAGCTGTCTTTTTCTCTCGGTAATAATGAGTTTGATTCCTCTTGAGTTTTTGAGCTGTGTCCAAGTACCAATAAAAAGCAGTACGCTAGTCCTCTATAAGCTAATCACAGAGGTGTGGAGGAAGTGAAAAGTCCTGGTTGACATTAAGCTGCTGCAGTCTGGGGTTTATCTAATCAGCTGTCCAGGTTGTGTTTGGGCTGCAGTGAGCAGACACTGATCCTTATTGATCTTATTAAAGGCGCTGCTTCACATGCTGCACTCCCTCCTGACATTAAACAGCTCTGTTTTCTACTGGAAGACCGGTGATATCTATATATATGTTGTGATATCAGTGTGTGATGTGCCATATGTTGGTTCTATGGTGGTATTCATAATATATTTAAAGAGGCCCTGTCATGCTTTTTGGGGTTTGCCCTTTCCTATAGTGTTTTCTTTAGGTTTTTGTAAACCTGTAAATGGTCTGCAAAGGATAACATTCCTGAATTCCCTGAAAGTGTAGCACTCCAACACATTGTACGTGATAGGCTAAGGGGCGGGACATCTCTAAGCGGTTGACCAATCACAACAGAGCCGGCCAGCTAACCAATCAGAGCAGACTGGGCTCTGGTTTCAGACAGAGGGGGAAAAGAGGTGCTGCAGCACAGGCAGTATGAGAAAAATAAAGAGCTGTTTGAACATTAAAGCATGGAGACATGTAGAGACACTACATGCTGATATACACCTGAACATCAGCAGGAGAGGACTCTTTAAAGTAGAGACACTACATACTGATATACACCTGAACATCAGCAGGAGAGGACTCTTTAAAGTAGAGACACTACATACTGATATACACCTGAACATCAGCAGGAGAGGACTCTTTAAAGTAGAGACACTACATACTGATATACACCTGAACATCAGCAGGAGAGGACTCTTTAAAGTAGAGACACTACATACTGATATACACCTGAACATCAGCAGGAGAGGACTCTTTAAAGTAGAGACACTACATACTGATATACACCTGAACATCAGCAGGAGAGGACTCTTTAAAGTAGAGACACTACATACTGATATACACCTGAACATCAGCAGGAGAGGACTCTTTAAAGTAGAGACACTACATACTGATATACACCTGAACATCAGCAGGAGAGGACTCTTTAAAGTAGAGACACTACATACTGATATACACCTGAACATCAGCAGGAGAGGACTCTTTAAAGTAGAGACACTACATACTGATATACACCTGAACATCAGCAGGAGAGGACTCTTTAAAGTAGAGACACTACATACTGATATACACCTGAACATCAGCAGGAGAGGACTCTTTAAAGTAGAGACACTACATACTGATATGCACCTGAACGTCAGCAGGAGAGGACTCTTTAAAGTAGAGACACTACATACTGATATACACCTGAACATCAGCAGGAGAGGACTCTTTAAAGTAGAGACACTACATACTGATATACACCTGAACATCAGCAGGAGAGGACTCTTTAAAGTAGAGACACTACATACTGATATACACCTGAACATCAGCAGGAGAGGACTCTTTAAAGTAGAGACACTACATACTGATATACACCTGAACATCAGCAGGAGAGGACTCTTTAAAGTAGAGACACTACATACTGATATACACCTGAACATCAGCAGGAGAGGACTCTTTAAAGTAGAGACACTACATACTGATATACACCTGAACATCAGCAGGAGAGGACTCTTTAAAGTAGAGACACTACATACTGATATACACCTGAACATCAGCAGGAGAGGACTCTTTAAAGTAGAGACACTACATACTGATATACACCTGAACATCAGCAGGAGAGGACTCTTTAAAGTAGAGACACTACATATTGACATACACCTGAAAATGAGCAGAAACGGTCCTCTTTATTTTCTTTGAATCAAGATCCAGTGGTATTCTATTCTCAGCTGATTTATGTGACTTTTCTGCATTGTGAAGGGAATGTGTAAAGGGAGCTCTCAGTCTGCTGCTATAAATGCTTTCACTCATATGTATACGCTGCCAGCAGTATCAAAGTTCACTTCTCCCATCTGTCACGTGCCCCTTGCTGAAACACACAGCAAAAGGAGAATGACTCATATTAACCCACTGTTGTTTCTGTTTGTTGCAGTGTGGAAGGTGATGCTCCAGGCAGCGAGTTGGGCGCCTCAGTGGACCCCAGCAGTGGCTATGGTTGCATCCCAGTGACCCACAGCAGCCACCTGGACAGCAGCCAGATATACGGACACATCCTGCTGCCGGGACACCTGAGGCCCCGTCGACCCAAACTGCAGCATTCACAGTCCATACTCCGCAAGCAGGCAGAGGAAGAGGCCATCAAACGCTCGCGCTCGCTGTCCGAGAGCTATGAGCTGTCAGCTGACCTGCAGGATAAGCAGGTGAGGAGACAAACACAGATACATGTCATGATACTAAAATGTATGCAACGTGACATGTCCAATAATGATTAATTGATTTTACGCTCAGGGCTGGGAGGGTTACTTTAAAATGTAATCCGTTACAATTACTGTATGCACTTTTTTATGTCTTTTATACATAAATATGTGTCCCCGGTGTGTCAGGAGACTCACAGTGTCAGAAAATACAATCATCTCTTTTTTCCTCAGTACCCAAATCTCTAATAAATTTGGGTACAACGGAGCTGATCCAGATTTGCTACTGTTTCAGAAATAATCCTTGAAACCTTGGAACATATTATGGTGTTTAATCACGGCAGCATTTAGCTGAGTATCTGGGTAGAAACCTCTCTCTTCACAGAGGAGAGCTCATGCAGATGCTCCAAAGGGGCCAGCAGCAGCTCGGTTAAATGTAAAGCTGCAGACCCAGAATCAGCACTTCTCTAACAGGGCTGAAATAGAGAGGCATGAGGCTAGAATGGGTGATCTGTTTGGTATTTTGAGCATAACACTTCCTAGGCATGTTTTTTATATATCTGAGACCTATAATATATGCCTAAAAATAGTATAATAGGAGACCTTTAAATATATAAATAATGTTACCTGATTACTTTCTGTTAATTTGGGTTACCTCAAATGCAATCGAAATGAATACAAGAGAAAGGAAATATAGATATTACATTGCCTTGAGGTTATATAGTACCTGTTATTACAATATTATGTCAGAAGGAGGCTCATCAGGGTGGTCAAATATATTAAAAAAAAGAACAATAATAACTTGTTTGCCTTGGGGCTTTATCAACTGCATCTGTTTGGAAAGACACAGGAAGGGGATGCTTGTTAGGCAGTGAAACTTGGAGCTTATTGGAGGGAAACCTACTGTTCTGGTCTAAATCTCTTGTGGAAATGTTGAGTCCGCTGGCCTCACATTAATGACGTCCTACTCCATCAGTCCAGATAGTAAACTTTCTTTACTACATCTTAATGTTGGTGTATTTAAGGTCATGTTTTACTTCCAACAGTACTGTACAGTCTCAAACTATTATCATATTTTTCTTATAAATCTTCCGAGAGCAATTCCTCATCATTATTTTGGCCATTTCCAGTTTATTGGTAGAACTGGGTTCACATCCCACTTCAACATTATCCACCTTCCTCCTTTTCTTCCTAGTGTTTTTGCAACGAATAAACCCCAGATTCCAGCCATTTTTAAACTGCCATCATCGCTCTCTTTTAGTTTTTAAGAAAAGCAGATGAGACGGCAGCACCATCCTTCATTCTGTCCAAAACATGTTTCCAAAGGTAATAGATATTCTTTGTTGGCAGGTGAAAGCAGCTTTTGTTTGAGAGTCAATTTTCTAAATGGACGGTTATTTTAAGTAATGCACTAAACAAAACCCTTTCTTTTGTCACCAACACTTACCCTCTATAGGCTTGACACTACAGTATAATCATAAATCAAGGACTATTGACGAGCTTTTATCTTCATCTGGCTCAGTAGTCCTTACGTGACCTAAGTATCAAATAACTGGAGTGCCACACTTTTTTACCATTCTGGGTAAAGTAACATGGACCATTTTTGGGGTTGCTATCATCAGTTTTATCATTACAGAGAATGCATACAAGGTTATTTTCAGAGATGGCAAAAGTACACACATCCTTTACTCAAGTAGAAGTACAGAAACTCGTGTTTAAAAATACTCTGGTAAAAGTAGAAGTACTGACTAAACTTCTTTACTCAAGTAAAAGTAAAGAAGTATGGGCTTTGAAATGTACTTAAGTAAAAAGTACCCATAACTAGCAGCTGTTTTAAAGAGTACCTGACCTCCCTTTATATTAATAGAACAATAATGTCATTGTTAGCTAATGAATGTTTCCATGCTGAACAACAGCAACATGACAACGTTTTCATTGGTCCCTCTTCTTTAGAGAAGACCAGGAAATGATGGATACACGGATCGTGTTCAAATCAATAGGCACGCAATGACTCTAAATAATAATGATCACGCCACCAAACACACATTCAAACTAAAGGAACCAGCCTGTTTGGGAAATGTAAGAAGTAGAAAGTACAGGTATTTGTGTTCAACATGTAAGAAGTAGAAAGTACAGGTATTTGTGTTCAACATGTAAGAAGTAGAAAGTACAGGTATTTGTGTTCAAAATGTAAGAAGTAGAAAGTACAGGTGTTTGTGTTCAACATGTAAGAAGTAAAAGTAAAAAGTCGTTAGAAAAATAAGTAGTGGAGTAAAGTACTGATACCAGAAAAATGTACTTAAGTACAGTAACAAAGTATTTGTACTCCACTACTTCCCATCTCTGGTTATTTTTGCCATAACGAAGCAGCTAGGGACTATCCAGACTGCTTCCAGTTAGTTGCAGTTGCATTATTTCACCAACCGTTCTTCTCTACCTGCAGGTGGAGATGCTAGAGAGGAAATATGGTGGGCGTTTCATAACCCGGCATGCAGCCCGCACCATCCAGACGGCTTTCCGCCAGTACCAGATGAACAAGAACTTTGAACGTCTTAGAAGTTCTATGTCTGAGAACCGTATGTCCAGACGGATCGTCCTATCAAATATGAGAATGCAGTTTTCCTTTGAAGGACCTGAAAAAGTCCACAGCTCCTATTTCGAAGGAAAGCAGGTCTCTCTAACAGACGATGGAACAAAACTTGGTGCGTTGGTGCAGTCAGAGCACGATGGGGAGATGGGTGTTCAGGCAAAGACTCCAACAACTCAGAGCGACTTCACAGACGCGATCACAGAACTGGAAGATGCCTTCTCCAGGCAGGTTAAATCTCTGGCTGAGTCCATAGACGATGCTCTGAACTGTCGCAGTCTGCATGGTGACGAGTCAGAGCCAGTGAGAGTTCTCCCGGATATCGACAGGGAGGTCGGTTGCCAGATGAAACTTTCTCATGGTGCGTCAGATCACCGCAAACTGGATGAGATGAGGGCGTCTTACAGCGACGTCACCCTCTACATCGATGAAGAAGAACTGACACCGCCTCTTCCCTTGTCTCAATCTGTGGATCGACCCTCCAGCACAGAGTCGGACTTGCGCCAGCGTTCCCTCAACTCTTCCCAGGACTACTGGTCACTGGCTCATAAGGATGAAAAAGGAGATACGGACACCAGCTGCCGAAGTACACCGTCTCTGGAGTGCCAAGAGCAGCGATTGAGGGTAGATCACCTTCCCTTACTGACCATCGAGCCTCCAAGCGATAGTTCGGTGGAGCTCAGCGATCGTTCTGACAGAAGCTCTTTGAAGAGACAGAGCGCTTACGAGCGAAGCGTCACTAATCAGCAGAGCAGCCCAAAACAAATCACCCACACTCGGCCACCAAGAGGGCCTTCAAGGGAAGAAGAAGCCCCTCGACATCGGCCACGACAACTGGAGGCCCATCTGGCCATCAATGGCACCGCAAACCGTCAGAGCAAGTCCGAATCCGACTTTTCTGATGGTGACAACGACAGCATCAACAGCACGTCCAACTCCAACGACACCATCAACTGCAGCTCCGAGTCCTCGTCCAGAGACAGCCTGAGGGAGCAGACGCTCAGCAAGCAGACGTACCACAAAGAGACTCGCAACAGCTGGGATTCACCGGCATTCAGTAACGACATCATCCGAAAGAGACACTACCGCATAGGCCTGAACCTCTTCAACAAGTATGTACATTCCACAATACAAGATCCATTAACACAGAGACAGACTCTTCTAGACACAATCTGATTACAATTCAAAGGTTTTATTGTCATATACAAAAAGCTACAGTGTAGAAATGGCAATGAAATTATTCTGACCTGAGCTCCTCCAACAATGCAACATATATAATACAATACAAAATAAAAAGTAGTGCAACAAGTCTATATACATGTCAATAGAATATGGGATATGTACAAGAACAGAATATGAAATTAAATAATGTAAATTAAGACAATTGCTTACATTGCTTGTACTTTTAGCTTCAGAATGACAGCATCACACATTACAGAGCCAATGAGGGACAGAGGTTATGTAAATGACGGTCCATTACTTATGACACATAAAGCTCTTCTTCATGATAAATGGGCAGTGATAGTGAAACACGACTAACGATCTGTTTTACTTGAGATTCAAACTCAGCCTGTGACTCATCCTGCTTCACTGAATGCAGAGTGATTCATCTCAACCATTTAATCATAAACGATTGTGGATTTGGTTTCTTTCAGAGCCAGCCATGAAGTTCCTTTTAATCATTTGCAATTAACACTATTGGAGAAAAAGTTCTTCCCTCCTCTCCACTCTCCCATCCCTCAATTGACACACATTTGGGGCATTTGGATTATCTCATATTTGGATTGTGTCCTCACTCCTCTCTCTCTCTCTCTCTCTCTCTCTATCCTCTCCTATGTTTCAAGGAAACCAGAAAAAGGCATCCAGTATCTGATAGATAGAAACTTTGTCCCCGACACGCCGGTGGGTGTGGCTCACTTCCTGCTGCAAAGGAAAGGCTTGAGCAGGCAGATGATCGGCGAGTTCCTGGGTAACAGACAGAAGCAGTTCAACCGAGATGTCCTCGAGTGAGTGTGCACCGAATCGTTTTCTACGTACTCTATGAAACATTAAACTGTCTTTTGATTTGGCTTTTATGTTATCTTCCTTTTGGGAGCATAAATATCACCATTTAATTGCAAATAGGGTTTCCAGCTTGCAATCGAGACTCATTGAAACCGTCTTCAAAGTTTCTGAGAACTACATAATGACTCTAGTTACAGAAATAGATCCTACTCAAGAAAATTGCTGTGATGCTCAGATAAACATACACACTCCTTTTATATTTCTCAGTCCTTTTAAAGAGAGAGAGTGAAGTCATAAAGTTCTTGTATTTCCCAACAGTGATTATCAAACAGTGCCTACTTTATGCTTTAGACTGGACAGATTTATCTGAAACACACTTGAGGCGCAGCAGCACTATCGGAGCCCATTGAGATTCTGTGGAGGATAAGGCCAGTAAAGGTCCTTCTTTGTCAGTTTGACAGGCATATCTAAAGGGCTCCTTGAGAAAACTTCTATTAATCTTGACATGCAAGATACCGCAGTATAAGGGCTCTGGAGATACAATCCTTACTTCAGTGTTGGAAAAAAGTTCTTTATTTAAGTAAAAGTGTCAGTATCACAGTTGAAATATGCTCCATTATAGGTAAAAGTCAGGCATTAACTTATGTCCAATATTTGGGTAATGAACAAGGGTTAGGGTTTCATTCAAGTCCTTGTTCTTTGTTCTGCTGTTTTAGTTCAGTCTAACTGCTGTCATGGAAGTCCTTTCCAGCAGAAAGCAGCTGTTTTTGGCTTAAAGTCTCACCACCAAACCACAGAAAGTGAAACCTGATGAAGTGAATGGAGCATTTGTCAACTATAAAGCCAGATATTGTTGTCAAGAGTTGATGGGTTAGGGTTAGGGTTAGGGTTAGGGTTAGGGTTAGCCCTAACTATTCAAAGAGAGTTATGACATTGGCCCTAAATTCATCCTGGTGGCATCAGCTCAGACGTTGTGTGTAAACAAGTTTAAATAACATGATTATTTGTTTCAAATGTTCTATTTTCCTCCAGTTGCCAGAATCAAAAATCTAACCAGTATGCCTTCCGTATTCTGTTTTGGTAAATAGGTAAACTGTTTCATAACTTGATCACCATAACAGCGTGACAGTATGTGAATAGAAGTACAAGGAAATGTGTTAGCAGTAAAACATGCTTTAATATAAAAAGTTAAAATCGAAGGAAAAGTATTAAGAACTAGTCTAGTTGACTCTCACAATAATAACTAAGGCACTGTAGCCGTCTTTATTTCTAGCAGATAAATATACTCTCACACCTTTAGCCAGTTATTCACTTTTGAAAGGATTGTGTATTTTCCTATCCAAACTGACTGCCATTAATGTGCGTTGTTTCCTCCAGCTGTGTGGTGGATGAAATGGACTTCTCGAGCATGGAGCTGGACGAAGCGCTCAGGAAATTTCAGGCGCACATCAGAGTTCAGGGAGAAGCTCAGAAGGTGGAGCGGCTCATAGAGGCATACAGGTGAGAAACTGCTGACATGAAATATACTCACTTGTTAGCAACCGCTGCTTTTATAACACAAATAATCTACGGATATTCACCAGTGGGGAACTTACTGACTTATTTTACGTTGTAGAACAAAACATGACAATCTATAAAGCTTGTGTGAACCTTATTTCAGACATCTAGCGACAAACACGTAAAATAAAACGTTGAAATGTGACCCAGAAGTGGTAAATGCTGACTTATTTCTGGGTTTTTGGAATCACTCCTGCACCACTCCATTAGGTCTCAAATTAGACCAATTCAGGATAATGTGACAGGATGATCATTAGAGGGTTCATCGCCATGTAAAGTATCTACCATAATAATAATAATACATTTTATTTAGGGCGCCTTTCATGACACCCAAGGACACCGTACAATGTGTTAACTATTCTAAGAGATAAAAGCAACAGAACATGATAAAAACACAAACAGGCCGAGGGTGTATGAATAGAGGGTAGTACAAGATAGCTTTGCACCAGGTCTATCATGTATATCGAGTCGATACCACAAAGTCAGCGTCCTTAACACTCCTTGGGTTTAAGTACATCAGTGTAAAGCCCTTAAAACCCAGGCTGTGTCCGTTCAGATCATTACAAAATAATCATTTAGAGAAATGTTCTTAAAGTTGATGGAAACCTCCCTCAGGGCTGCTGATGGATGTTGTTTGTAACTCATTTATTTCCTCCTAACCTCAGGTAGAAAAGGTGCTCTCATGCCCACAGAAAATCTGCTGAGCAAGGACATTTCATCTCAGTAAACAGTCACTGTAACAGGGAGATAACAATAACTGATCATCTGGTGCTTGCCTGCAGTAAAGATATGATCATAGCGTCCCTTTATGGTGACTCAGAGAGCAGTTTAACATCCTGTGTGATGGCTGCAGGCTGTATCGACAGTCTAATGTGGTGGATTATTGGTCTGTTGACTTGAGGCTTTGAAACCTTACTTTAATATCTGTGGCCTTAAGGAGTGAAGATCATCAATATTGATATTCCTGCCCATGAGTGGAACTAATAGGGAAGGATACCGATTAATTTTGCATCTATAAAACGATTTGTACTGATGCTTTGTCCTTCAAAGGTGAACTTCCTGTTGGTTAGATAGATAGATAGATAGATAGATAGATAGATAGATAGATAGATAGATAGATAGATAGATAGATAGATAGATAGATAGATAGATAGATAGATAGATAGATAGATAGATAGATAGATAGATAGATAGATAGATAGATAGATAGATAGATAGATGGATAGATGGATATAGATAGAGATAGATAGAGATAGATAGATAGATAGATAGATAGATAGATAGATAGATAGATAGATAGATAGATAGATAGATAGATAGATAGATAGATAGAGATAGATAGATAGATAGATAGAGATAGATAGATAGAGATAGATAGATAGATAGAGATAGATATAGATAGATAGATAGATAGATAGATAGATAGATAGATAGATAGATAGATATAGATAGATAGAGATAGATAGATAGATAGAGATAGATAGATAGAGATAGATAGAGATAGATAGATAGATAGATAGATAGATATAGATAGATAGATAGATAGATAGATAGATAGATAGATAGATAGATAGATAGATAGATAGATAGAGATAGATAGATAGATAGATAGAGATAGATAGATAGAGATAGATAGATAGATAGAGATAGATATAGATAGATAGATAGATAGATAGATAGATAGATAGATAGATAGATAGATATAGATAGATAGAGATAGATAGATAGATAGAGATAGATAGATAGAGATAGATAGAGATAGATAGATAGATAGATAGATGGATAGATGGATAGATAGATAGATAGATAGATAGATAGATAGATAGATAGATAGATATAGATAGATAAATAGATATAGATAGATAGATAAATAGATAGATAGATATAGATAGATAGAGATAGATAGATAGATAGAGATAGATAGATAGAGATAGATAGATAGATAGATATAGATAGATAGATAGATATAGATAGATAGAGATAGATAGATATAGATAGATAGAGATAGATAGATAGATAGAGATAGATAGATAGAGATAGATAGATAGATATAGATAGATAGATACTGTAGATAGATAGATATAGATAGATAGAGATAGATAGAGATAGATAGATAGATAGATAGATAGATAGATAGATGGATAGATGGATAGATAGATAGATAGATAGATAGATAGATAGATAGATAGATAGAGATAGATAGATAGATAGATAGATAGATAGATAGAGATAGATAGATAGATAGATAGATATAGATAGATATAGATAGATAGATATAGATAGATAGATAGATAGATAGATATAGATAGATAGATAGATATAGATAGATATAGATAGATATAGATAGATATAGATAGATAGATAGATAGATAGATAGATAGATAGATAGATAGATAGATAGATAGAGATAGATAGATAGATAGATAGATAGATAGATATAGATAGATAGATAGATAGATATAGATAGATATAGATAGATAGATAGATAGATAGATAGATAGATAGATAGATAGATAGATAGATAGATAGATAGATAGATAGATAGATAGATCTAACATTGTATTTCTCATCACTGTTTGTAATAAATTATAACTTTAAATGATACACAGTCAACTGTCAACATTTGAATGTACATTTTGGATTTATTAGTGGAAACGGCATCTGGTTGAGTGCTTCTTTTGGAAACACACAACAATTCCAAGTCAATGACAATGATGTACTGATGACTGAAGAACAATTTTAAATGTGTCCCTTCCCCATTTTTGAACAAGGCTTTCTGTCAACCATTAGCAATTTAAGCTAGTAAAGTCGTCAACCAAACTTGATAATATATTTTTTGTTATCCAGAAATTAAATTGTTGGAGAAATCCACAGCAGACGTTGAATTGAACGGACCTCTTTCTGCGCATTGATATGACTGACTTTCCTTTCCTTAGCAACAGTCTGTTCTCCTTAGCAACAGTCTGTTCTCATTAGCAACAGTCTATTAGCAAAAATTAGCGACCCCTGGAATGTCCAAATTGACCAATAAGAATTCAGTATTCAACTCAGACATGTAATAAAATGAAATATATTTGAGTGCCTGCAAACACAGATATTTCTCCACCAAAGGGCACCAAAGCTCATCAAACACAACGAAACAACGTTGATCACGGCAGAAAATAATTATAGGCCCCATGTCATGGCCATTTCTACTGATCATAATTCCATTACTACTTACTACAGTCTACTAAAATAGATTTATATTGTGCAATTTTCCAAAATCGCATTGGTTTCGCATACAGCATCTCTGTAAAGTATGTGTATTCACTCTCTGTCCTAAACGGCTTGTTGGAGCTCCTGCCCCCCCCCCTCCCTATGAGCCCAGTGGCCGTCTGCGAGACAGCGAGACACAGCGAACACCGACTCACAGCCTCGCCGCGTTCCACCGTCTCAGGGAGGAGAAATCGGCGGAGCTGCAGCTGAGAAAAGATTGTGTGTGTGTGTGTGAGGAAGTCCGCGTATTGGTCAATTTTGACCAATCCACGGACTTAACGTAACGGCTCCACGGATTGGTCCATTTAGACCAATGGGTCCATTTGGGTCGTCGTTACGTCACTTAGTACCAGGAAGAAAAAGAGAAATCTCCAACGAGGCGTTCTGGGGCAGCATAGACAGGTCTTTTCTGTGTTAGAGTTTTACTCTCTGCAGAGTGTACTTTGAGGGTTTGTGACTCTGCAGACCGTTTACATGCAGAAAAACCTTCATAACACACAAGGGGACGGGTCATAACCGGAAAAGCATGACATGGGACCTTTAAGATTCCAAAGTTTGTTAAATACAATTTTGACCACAGGACAAACACAAAGTAATGTACAATACGATACGATACAATACGATAATACTTTAATGGTCAGATCAAGTCTGAAATTTGACTTGCATCACAGCAGCTCCATGTGTAACATCATCATAGACAAATATCAAGACACAATACATGAAAAACAAACATTTAACATGTACACAACACAATGTAATGTTTACAGTATTTCTTGCCATTTCAGTAGAGTTCGCCCTTTATATTTTCTGTGTCCGATATTCTCTTCACAGCCAACGTTACTGCATCTGTAACCCTGGAGTGGTGCGACAGTTCAGGAACCCCGACACCATCTTCATCCTTGCCTTCGCCATCATCCTCCTCAACACCGACATGTACAGCCCCAACGTGAAGCCTGAGAGGAAGATGAAGCTGGAGGACTTTGTGAAAAACCTTCGAGGTACACTGGAAAAAAATGCTGCTCCAAAAACAAGTTAAACAATAATGAAAACAAGTTGTTTTCACTTGAAATAAGCACAAAAATCTGCCAATAGAACAAGTACAAATTAGCTTGGTAAGATTTCTTGAAATAAGAAGGGATATTTAGATAAATCAGATCTTGTAATTAACTCATTTTGAACTAAATTTGACCAGAATTAGTAATGTTATGAAACAAAATAATCCGCAAATGCTCAAAAGTTTTCAGTTTTCTGATGTTAGTTGGTGATTTTCTAATACATATGTAAAAAAATATGTTTTTTAAAATAAGATTTTTTGACTTAACAAGCTGATGCATTGTCTAAAAACATGACCCGATATCTCACTGCAGTGTTACTTCTGAAGTTATTATGTCTTATATCAGGAGTAGAGACATATTCTGACTAGATATTAGACACATATACCAGAAAATATACTAGATTTCAAGTTTTTGTAGTGTACTTTGTCCTCTCGTCCTGCACCGTATCCAGCTGACTGTCACAAAGCCAATATTACCTTTAGACACCGATATGCAGCTTCAGGGATAAATATTAACTCTAAATGGAGTTTTGTGCATGCATATTGCCTTGATTAATAGCCGTGTCAATAAGGTATTTCATTTTCAACGCCTAAAAATCTTTGCTGTTGAGGCAAAACCACTTTTGAGTTGCCCGGAACAGATTTCGAGGGTATTAGCAGGGGCTTTGTGGCATGGCTAACTAATTTCTCCGCCTGGTGGAGTGTGAGTAATTAAAGTACAGTATTGAGTGGATGCTCGTCCTCAGAGAGCTCTGAAGGACATTTCTTTCTGTTCTGTTAGAGATGTGTGCAACGCTGCAGCATCTAAGTAAACTCAGGGGTTCATCAACTCTCATAAATATCTGAATTAATCATTAATCCGTCTGTTTTTTCTCGCCTCTTCTTACAGGGGTGGATGATGGGGAAGACATCCCCCGAGAGATGCTGGTAGGGATATATGAGCGGATTCGCAAGCGAGAGCTCAAAACGAATGAAGACCACATGTCCCAGGTTCAGAAAGTGGAAAAACTCATTGTTGGGAAGAAGCCGGTAAGTCTGCCCTTGGGCTTCTTCACGTAGAGTGTGACCACTTTTATCTTACCCTCCATTCAGGAGCATGCAGAACTAAATGACCCAACGTGCCTCTGAGCTGTCGCAGAGAGCACTGGCTTATTCATGGCCAACAATGTCTAAAAACGAAAAAGAAATGAAAGAGCATTCTTAACATGAAACTTATTTCTCCGCTGTGTGACACATCAATTCTTCAAGGCCGGAGACCTTCACGCTGAATGACTGTAATGTGTCTTTTGCCCTAAGAGCCAGATGAGAAAAAGTGCGGTCTGACAAGCTCTGTAATAATAAAATATATAAACACATCACATTATCTTGAAGGTGTTTACTTGAAACCATACGCTTCGTTTCAGGTCCATTAATACCCTTATTTATCAAACTAACTCCACTTTGGTGACACACTTCGGCAGGAGTCCAAGGGACCTTGAAGCAGTTGTGATCATAGAGCGTTGCGAACATTGGAAACACAACGTACTGTATTAAAAGATGAATGTGAGGAATGCGTAAATGTTTCTCCCGTGATCCATGAAACTAGTTTTCCTGATTTTAAATGTGGCCCATTTTTCTTGTGGAACATTATGTGGAATGTCTTTTCTTTGATGTATGGTGAATTTTAAAGTTTCCATATTATGTGTGTACTGATCCTTGTAAAATGACTCTCCCTCCATAGATTGGCTCGTTGCACCACGGTCTGGGCTGCGTAAGTATTTATCTTTCTGTCGCCTACTTCTTAGGGTTGAGTGGAGGTATTTGTAATATATCCCCAAAGGCTCGATGGAGCAGACAACAAACATTTTGAAAGGCATAAAGTATATAACTTTTATACTAAGGAATGAGGCTGTGTTTGTGCAGGTGCTATCCTTACCACACCGGAGACTGGTCTGTTACTGCAGACTTTTTGAAGTACCCGACCCTAACAAACCACAAAAGTTGGGTGTCCACCAACGGGAGATCTTCCTCTTCAATGACCTGCTAGTGGTGAGGAAGACATTATTAATTCAACACACTGAAAACACACTTGGAGTGAAAAGAATCTCACCTCTGTATATGCCATGTTCTTTTTCATAGGTCACTAAGATTTTCCAAAAGAAGAAGAACTCTGTGACGTACAGCTTTCGGCAGTCCTTCTCACTTTATGGCATGCAAGTGCTAATCTTTGAGAATCAGTGTAAGTGCAATGGGGTTAGGATTGGACTTTTGCTTAAGCACTTTTAAAATGTGTCAGTATGCTTGAAATGAACAAGTTTGCATGAGAAACACTTGTAAAGGCAAACATTTTTAAGGCTGATTAGAATTGCCCCAAAGCAGGATAAGGACCAAGCCACAACCTCAGTGTTTGAATAGTGATGCCAATGCAGATGTGCAATAACTTTGCATAGCCAGCAGGGTGCAACTAAACTGGTTCAAACTGGAGTCTGATTGTATAGAAGTCTACAAAAAAAAGGACCATAATTCACTCTTGATTTGTGACCTTACTAAAGAGGATGATCAGCAACTTCGGGATCTGAATAGTAAAGCCAGTGCATATATGCAGTTACCTTGCATAGCCAGCAAGGGGCAACGACACTGGTTAAAAAAACAATTCTGATTTCATAGAAGTCAATGAGAAAATTACCATATTTCTCTCTAAATGTATGACCTCGGAAAAAATGTTCCTGACGAGTTTATGGTGCCATTGTATATTCTTAAAGATAGCAGAAGTGTTGTCTGTTTCTGAGACAATTCTAACTTCTACAGACTCTCCTGGTGATAGGTATATTTTGTTTGGCTAATTGTTGATACCGTCACTCTTTAGATTATCCCAACGGAGTGCGTCTGACGTCAGCCATTCCCGGAGCAGACATCAAAGTCCTCATCAACTTCAACGCACCAAATCCTCAGGACCGCAAAAAGTTCACTGACGATCTGCGAGAATCTATTTCTGAAGTCCAAGAGATGGAGAAGTACCGGATAGAATGTGAGAAAAAGTTGCACGTCTTATTTTTAAATATTTATCTAAAAAGTCTGGATTTACTGTTAAATGTCCCCTATTATGCAAAATCCACTTCTTCATGTCTCTTCTACATCAACATGTGTCCCCTCTTCTTCATGTCTCCTCTACATCAACATGTGTCCCCTCTTCTTCATGTCTCCTCTACATCAACATGTGTCCCCTCTTGTTCATGTCTCCTCTACATCAACATGTGTCCCCTCTTCTTCATGTCTCTTCTACATCAACATGTGCCCCCTCTTGTTCATGTCTCTTCTACATCAACATGTGTCCCCTCTTCTTCATGTCTCTTCTACATCAACATGTGTCCCCTCTTCTTCATGTCTCCTCTACATCAACATGTGTCCCCTCTTCTTCATGTCTCTTCTACATCAACATGTGTCCCCTCTTCTTCATGTCTCTTCTACATCAACATGTGTCCCCTCTTCTTCATGTCTCTTCTACATCAACATGTGTCCCCTCTTGTTCATGTCTCTCTACATCAACATGTGTCCCCTCTTCTTCATGTCTCTTCTACATCAACATGTGTCCCCTCTTCTTCATGTCTCTTCTACATCAACATGTGTCCCCTCTTCTTCATGTCTTTTCTACATCAACATGTGTCCCCTCTTCTTCATGTCTCTTCTACATCAACATGTGTCCCCTCTTCTTCATGTCTCTTCTACATCAACATGTGTCCCCTCTTCTTCTTGTCTCTTCTACATCAACATGTGTCCCCTCTTCTTCATGTCTCTTCTACATCAACACGTGTCCTCTCTTCTTCATGTCTCTTCTACATCAACATGTGTCCCCTCTTCTTCATGTCTCTTCTACATCAACATGTGTCCCCTCTTCTTCATGTCTCTTCTACATCAACATGTGTCCCCTCTTCTTCATGTCTCTTCTACATCAACACGTGTCCTCTCTTCTTCATGTCTCTTCTACATCAACATGTGTCCCCTCTTCTTCATGTCTCTTCTACATCAACATGTGTCCTCTCTTCTTCATGTCTCTTCTACATCAACATGTGTCCCCTCTTCTTCATGTCTCCTCTACATCAACATGTGTCCCCTCTTCTTCACGTCTCTTCTTCATCAACATGTGTCCCCTCTGTGTAAAGAGACTCTGAAAGTTTCAGGAACAAAGATTCTCTCTCTTTTTGTCCTGATCCATTTTTATAAAAACCTGTCTGAAAATGAGCTGATCAGATTTTGGCCACTTTATGATGTCATAACGATGTTTTGGCTTGTGTAACCATTAGCCAATCACCAACCAAGGTAACCCCCCCCCCCCACCTTATCACCTGAATCTCCTCCTAGAGCACCATTGTGTTCTTTTTAACCAAATATCTCTCAGAGGGGCGTGGGGAGGGGCTCCTTATTTTCATCTAAAGTAACAGACAGAGAATCAGCACTTTGGAAACAGGGCTGAAACAGAGGGGATTATGGGATGCTGCAATGATCTGTTTGGTGTTTCAGCCAATCAGAGACATGTTCTGTATATATCTGAGACCTATAATATATTGATGAAAAACAGTATAATAGGGGACCTTTAACATTGTGTCTCTTTCTTCACAGCTGAGCTAGAGAAACAGAAGGGGGTCGTGAGGCCCAGCATGTCCCAGACTTCAGCCATGAAGAAGGACACGGGAAACGGGTCTCTGAGTCGCGGGAGCCTCGACGACAGCTACGCCATTGGTGAAGGTTTGAAGAGGAGCGCACTCAGCAGCTCCCTACGAGACCTGTCAGACGCAGGTAAAATCAGGGGAAGCCATGATACCATACTAACTCATGTCTCAGGTTCGCTCCTGATGTTATTTGATTAGGAAAGTAGGAAGTAAGTGTTGGGGAAATATTTTCCTAGGCCCATAACTTTGACTCAGTTTATCAGTTTGTATTGTTTAGTTTATTTGTTTATAGTGTTGTGGACAGTCCCCATTGATCAACTGTCACAAAACACTTTCCAGCTGTTGTCCCCGGCCAGATGGTAATAGACACCTTTTTTAAATCACAATAGATCAACAGCATTAGTTATAAATACTGAGCACACGCCTGCACCCTTGGGCTGCTCTCAGTGTTTTGTCTCCCTGTTGGCGTCAACTGATAGAGGTGTTATTATAGTGCTTTTTCTTGTTATGCACAATGCTGATTATTCTCTCAGAACTAGCTAAATACATGGGTCTGGGGTAGAGATCTTCAGAATTGGTTTGGCAGCAGCTGTGTCACCTCGTGGCTCAGCACATGTCTTGTGAATTCTCCGGCCGAAGCTCCAAATAAACCATCAGTGTTTGCCATCAAAGTTCCTGCTTTCCTCGTGTCTCTCTGAGTCTCCATTCCTTCAGAAGTTTCCATCACAGGAAGAAGCTGAGTTCCTGTTGGGCGGTAGCCACTGCGACTGACCTTCTGATGCAGAGTGAACAGAGCCTCTGAGCAGTGAAGGAAATAGAGATGTGTGTTTGCTAATGGGCTCAGGTGTAATTCACTAGAGGCTCTTACCTATTAATCCTGCGTTGCCGGCAGTGGAGCGCCATGTAGGTCACTGTGATCAATTTGAGCGTCTAAGTCGTAATATGAACTGATGTTGTGGGGTTGAGTCAGGATGGAGAGAGCCGCCAAACACATTCAGTGACCACAGGACAGCTTTCTCAGTGCTGATGAATTGAGACAAAACATAATTGAGTTAGCAGCTTTTATAGAGAGCAACAAGAGTGGATTTTGGAGGCCTTGGAAGCATTTTACCATCTTCAGACCCTCGTGATTTTAGGAGGGGCTATTCGAGTGTTCAGACTGTGAAGTTGATTTACCTAAGAAAAATGATGGGCTGATTTACAGACGTATCTTTCCCCATGTAAGTCAATGGGGAAAAGGGCCCAATGATGTCGGGCATTTCCTTCAATACCTGACGTACTTCCTGGATGCTTGATATTTCCTTTAGGAGAGTTTTGCCTCTTCATCACTCAGTTTAAATACATTTGAGCAGTGGCGTTTTTATATGTACAAAAGTGGTGGGGCACAAAAAACGTAGATGTCTATATATAAGCTTCTGCAGTGACGTGCAGTGAGGTTCATGGCTGGTGAGGCACTGGCACTGACTCTTCAGGTTTACAAATATTATATTTTGACCTAAACCAAAATATAATATTATTTTCAAAAGCTTTTTTTTGTCTGATGCTTCGATTAATTTTAAACAGACAGTTCAACAAAAGGATACCCAAAAAATGTAATTTTATCATTTAAATATTGAATTGTTCTCTCTTAGTAAGATCCCATTTTCAATAAAATTGCGGTCTTACCTTGACTTGAAGATGAAGTCCATTTGCCTATCCTTCTGGACAAACATTTCTATTACTTTTTTGTAAAAGTCCTCCTTATGTTCTTGTAGTTTCAAAAGTCTATCATAAATCTAATCGATAGATTTATGATTAAAAAATTATAAAAGTATGGTAGACATGTGGATGTTATCCGGCTGAACAAAACGTGCATTTATCTAACAGGTACGTTTCCCACAGATCTTATTTCGAGCTATTTTCTAAAATCCTCTGGAGAAATCTCATTGCTTTTTTGTGCTTACTTCCTGGTTTTAGGACGCGTCACTGCAGCTCTCTCGTCTCCTCTTCACACACCACACTTTTCGCGGCACACGTACTTACAGCCAATCAGCTCTGAATGATGTGAGATGACGTATGGTGGGGATGGCAGATCAGTGCCCCTATGGTCATTATTTTTTTGCCACACACATTAAATAGGAAAATACTCTGAGCATGCGCAGTGTCGTTTTTACAGTCACCGTTGACTTCACAGCGAGAGGAAGGGGCATAATCAGGTTTTGTCCCACATGGCTCTAAACAGCTCAATAGGCACACACTGTGACTGTAGACACACTAATTAGAAGAACACAGACTAAAACAGCAATGTACAGACGAATCAGATGATTAAACATGATCTTAAAATATATTTTATATATATATATTTTTTTTTTTGCATTTTTTGTAATCATTATTTGTAATACTTTCTGCTGACACTAGGTGGGGCTGTGCCCCACCTGCCCCTAATGACCAGTCGCCACTGCATTTGAGGTTTGATTTTGGTTAGTTTAAAAGTGACTCTTGAGGGACAGCTTTCTTGACCGTTGTTGGGAAAACGTTTTCTGAGCTATCTGGACAGTTGTTTGTGACCTCCATAGATCAGAAAAACATTTGACATTTACCACAAGGCGAGAGTCAATAACATATTTGGTTAAATTATGGCATACATTGGACAGTGTTTTTCCTACTTGGGATAAAATATCTGGACCTACAGTATCAGCCTTTTCTGCTTCGATTTGGATCATCCTTCTTTTTTTGTCTCTTGTGAGTCTTGCAAGTTAATGGATGTGAAATGTTACTATATATTGCCAGAGTTTCCCTTTAGCGCTATCAGATTGCAATGTTTTCACTGAATATGAGGGTCTCCTTCCAGCTGTGCCTCAAGTAGCTGAGTAGAAAATATTAAAGTTGACGTATCCTAGAGGCTAGGAGTTGTAGCACTGCTTTGCTTCTTCCCTCTCCCTTTCTGCTGCTAGCTAGTCATCTGTCACTTTTGTCACCTTAGGGTGCTAGCGCCCCTCCACTAGACAGAAGAGATATGTGCACCTGCAGGTGTTAACCCGGCGTGTCTAATCTGTCATGTTGCATGTTCTGGCCAGGCAAGCGTGGGAGACGCAGCAGTGCAGGATCACTAGACAGCAATATGGAAGTAAGTAGGATTGAACCGATGCTGAGCTGTCCTTCCACTTTATGTTGTTCCCTCTGAACACACGTTTTCTGTTTCTTTGTAGTTTTTATTTTACTGTTTTGGTGGTGTGTTTTGTTGTTGTGAGCATCTTGGTCACTGCATGCTTTGGGCTGATCCACTGTGGCTGATAACACTTGATGTACACAGCATGACTAATAATCCTCCTGACCCACATTAGGGCTGTGTCGATGTTAGAGCCTGTTTGAGTCCTCCTCTTGTGTTGTGGGTTAGCCTTGTATCCATTTTCTGAATTGTGTCCCTTTTTGTTTACTAGATGTGAATATGGCTATGCTTTATCAGATCCAGCTACTGCATGCTTACAGTTTGGAGTGACGACTCGGAGGGCTTCCTTTCATTGACCCCTGACCTTTATATGAAGTTCTTCCTTTGCATGTATTACTGTCACACTTACCAAGCTGTGCAGTGCAATCAAAGAAACCTAGCATAAAGGCAAATATGTTAAATGGTTAATATAAACTCTTTGTAACCAGAAAAAAACGTTAGGGCCAATAGCATATGGCTAGGTGAAGTGTAGCTATCAATCAAGCTAGGTGTAGCTAGCTTCATTGAATTGAAGATGATTTGAGAGGGAGCAACATTTTGTAGTTATTCATTGCAAGTTTTAATCTTGAGCTGTTGCCAGAACAAGGTCTTTAAGAAGAAAGCTATCAATATATATTTGACTTATTTATTATGTTCCTGATGTCTGGGGCACTTAGCCTAAGCAAAGTTTAATTAAGTTAAGTTAGCTTTTGAGACTATTTATCAATATTCAACATATACAATGAGACTCACTGTTTCTGTCAATACCTTCCACAAAGTAGAAAATCCTGCACTTTCTACAGAGTTGTGTTTTAAGCGCTCAGTCTTCGAACCCTAACATTAGCTTACTACTTTCACTGATGGCTAAAGCTACCAAAAGTACAATGCATTTTGATCATGTATTAACATTATGAGTTACTGTCATTATGTCAGTCATTGTGGTTATTTAAAGACAGGAATACATTGTCATTGAAAAGAGACTCGGCAGAGAATACAACTGATACAGCTCTGATCACATCAGTCAAATAAATGAAGGTATATAATTAATCAAAATCAATTATGCAACACTTTGGAGCTTCAATCACAATCCATCTTCATTGTTCTTAGTGTATCATAAAGGGACTCCACCTTGCTGTTCGTGTTACTTCCCTGTGTTGTAGAATCACATTAGATGAACCGTAGTCGATAGTTTGCATGTTGTGCATGGCTCTAAAAAAGTTGCTTAATTTCTTTTACTTTTTTGTGATCTTGTTATTCTGTGTTACTGTGACATTATATAAAAGACATCTGATGTATTTTGTTTGTCTTGCTGAGTGTACATTTTGAAATATTCACACAATGGTAAACTCTTCCTGAACCTGGACTTGAACCTGGCTGCAGTTTCAGATGTTCTGTTCTAGCGACTCTCGGGGGCACATGAAAATTAAAAAGGGTATTGTAACCTTGGAAACCAGATGTGATAGCAACTCACTCGGCTCATCACAGGGCAGAGACTGCAGGCTCTGACAAGCTCAGAAAGCAAAGCCTCCAGACTATTTACACTAGAGAGAGCCGAGCAAGAGCAAGCATGGACAGACGAAACAAGGCAGTGAACCAGAAAAGAAAAAGCTTTTCCACAAGGCCAGAGTCAGCTGTACCCAGTCATGCAGTTGGTGCTATGTAAAGAATTCAGACACTGTAAAAAACAAAAACCCATAAAAAAAAAAAGTAGAAAATATACATGTTGAATTTCAAATGTACAGTAACAAAATATAAAGCAGGATATTATATATACATAAGTATGTGAGGAATGGAATATTAAATATTAGATTGGAAATAAATGTAAAATGTACAGTGTGATTTTAAGTCCTGTTATCCTATGTTATCCTATAGTGATCTATGGTTCCCCTTTATAAACCCAAGCTCTTCCCCCCCGACTCACCCTCATTAAGATTATTAAGAGACATATTATAGTAGAGTAGGCTTTGTGCTGTGTTTGCGTTGTCTCCTGACTAAGTCATCTTTAAATACAATTTGAATCTGCAGCACGTACACCTTCACTTAGTAAGTATAGTAAGAGTAGGCTTCTTTGTGTTGTGTCTGGTTCTCTCTAACCCTCTCTCTCTTGCAGGGCTCCATCATTAGCAGCCCCCACATGAGACGCAGACCCCCGAGAGACGGCCCGCCCCGACACAGCGGCCAATCGCTGCCCAGCTCCTCCTCCCTGCTGGGGACTTTGTTTGGCCCCAGCAGACGTTTGAAGTCACCCAGCCCCACCCCTCAGGCTCTGCACCCCACCCTAATCTCACACACCACCCACCCTACCAACTTGCACCACACAGCCCGGGCCGAAACGGACCCCCAAGCCTCCGTTCACCCTCACCACGGGCAGTTTTGCCACCAGAATCCTCCGCCTTACCACCATCATCATCACTATCACCCTCCAGCCCACCTGCAGCACCCTCCACACCCGTTTCACCCGGCAACAGGTCACGGGCAGCAGCCAGCATACCCTCCTCACCCTCCTCACCCTCCTCACCCTCCTCATCCTCCTCATCCTCACCCTCACCACCAAACACACCCTCCTCACGCTCCACTTCACCACGGCCCCCAAACGGCCCCCTCCCAGGCCCCCAGCAGCACCAAACCCAAGCACAGCGGCATCAGTACGGTGGTGTAAAAGTGTAAAGAAGACACAGAGACTGAACTTTGATTTTAATCCGAAACGGTAGCACTGTGCGGACGCCGGACGAGATCCTGTGCCTCCTTTGGGGTTCTTTGTTGTGCTCATAACAAGAACAGTTTACTCGATTTAAAACACATCTCCTTTCTGGTTGCTCCTTGCATTTCACTTCAGGTTATAATTCAAGAGCATGCACAAAGACCACAACTACTGTTTCTCCTCAATTAAAGGATCAAATATCTAACTTACTTACTAGTGTTTTACAGAAGAAATGAATAGTAATCTTGACTTTAATGACTAATGATTTGATCTTGTCTGACAGACAGACAGACAGACAGACAGACAGACAGACAGACAGACAGACAGACAGACAGACAGACAGACAGACAGACAGACAGACAGACAGACAGACAGACAGACAGACAGACAGACAGACAGACAGACAGACAGACACACAGACAGACAGACAGACAGACAGACAGACAGACAGACAGTAGCTGTGTGAGTATTTAATGTAGCGTTAGCTCACAGTACACTGTGATATCTCTGATAACAGTTTATAAATGTGCCAATTATCCAAGCATATATTCGCAACAATTGCTTTTCTGTAAATCGTGCATAGTATTTTGTAAGATAAAAATATTAACTGTTGCTATAATAATAATTATAATTATTATTACAGAACAAATGCATCATTTACGACTCTCAGTATTATACAGGCACATAAAGGGCGTAGTTTCACTGTTCAATCAAAGCTTTTATAAGTACTGAGGCATTCAGTTACTACTGTGTTTGGTTGCCTTTGAGTTACAACAGCTTGATGGAGGGTGGTGCAGATTTTGCACACCGCCCTACAAACAGTCTCATCCCTCTGCACTGGACTTTGGGTCGTCTTTCAATCTCCGGAAACAGATTCATCTGAATGTCCGCCATCATTTTATTTTTTTACCTATTTTTTTAGAGTCTAATGAACAGTATAGAACGCTCTATGTGTGCAGCCTGGTTGGTCCATTTTAGAGGAGGAGGAGGAGGAGGAGGAGGAGGAGGACGTTTTTCATGTTTTTTTTTTGGCAGAAAGTGGTGTGTGTAGCAGGGAAACAACAACGTGTCTCCCCTGATGTGGAAGCTCTCAGCTGGCTGAGTGTGGCCTGTTCCTCTTCGGTTTCTTTGTGCGTCTCTCGAGCTACGAGTGATTTTCTCCCACCATCAGACTTTCTTTTTTCCTCGGAGCCACAGCACAATAATTATCATTCTGTAACGGTGACAGAAACTCTTCGCCACCAATAGCAGTGTCATATCAATCATCTTTTCTGACATATTAAGAGGTCCTGTGCACGGTATCTGGAGTGTGTGCAGAGCGGAGGTGTTTGTTTTCCTGTTGGTAGAAACAGCACTTAGCTGATATCAATGGCTGTCTGTATCTGCTTGAAGAATATGAAATGGACTTTATTTTTTACTTGTATGTGCAATATGTATCTCCCTTTTTTGTTTTGTCCAAAAGCAATTTCTATCTGGTGTTCCTTTTCCATTTCTGTAATCGTCTTTTCCCCGACATCCTCTTGTCATTTCTTCCTCGATGTTTCAGCGAGTGTCCACATGGATTCGGAGGGACAGGACCTTCCATATAAAGAATGTCACAGAAAATAATTGCATGTAAAAATGTATTTCAAGGCTATTTTCTAACTATTGTGTATTCCCAAACTATATCAATGTTACAGTTGTTAAAAACTAATGGTAGAATAGTTTTGACTTCTTCAATTACAGCTAACCTGAAGTCAACTATGTATTGGTGTCACTCTGGAGGATAACCAAATCTGTATTGTTTCTTAATCCACATTTACTGGATCTTTAGTGTACAACAAAGCCGGGTGTTATCACAGCTGTGAGAGGAGAGCAGGTGTGAAGACAGATGTAGCCGTCATCAGGAAATCACAGTGATAATGGACAGACAGAGTATAATGTCTTTTATCTTCATATTTATCAACTGTCTCTGTCAGTAGCTCACTCATTACTGTTGCCGAGTGACATCCAGACGATCTTAATCCTTCTTCCTCAAGGTTATCAACCCTTTATAAAATAATTAATGGTTCTACTTTCAGACAAAAATGTTCTATTGACTTTACATAAGTCGTAATGTTGAAACAACATGGCCGCCGTTGTATTGTATGTCTAACATCTCTGAAATGTTTCCAATTATTTTGACACAACACAAATGAAGCAAAAAGGCCTCACAATGTAAACGACAGTGAGATGTATTTTGTTGTATTCGCCTCAAAATGTAATGGGTTCTTTTAATTGGCCAATGCTACTCCCGTCCACCAAGTTTCATCAACATCGGACAAACATTTATTAACTATCACGTTATCCTGCAGATAGACACACAGACAAACCAAGACAAAACATTACCTCTCTGGCCAAGGTAATACCAATTCACTTTTTCAACGAATAATGCTTTATACATAAGTAATAAGTCGTGCTTATGAATAAGGTATTCATAAGCACGACTTTTGGGTTTTCATGCTCGGAAACCTTGCTTAATCCTGCAGCAAATGTTACTTAGTCAAATGTACTAGTCCATGCAGTCCTAGTGCAATGAAAGGAGGATGCCCATGATACATTTCGGTAAAAAAAAAGGTTAATATATCTTATTTCATTTACGAGAAAACCACACAGGGCAGCTTTAATAGACCAGTCTTCCTCAGAATTTCCTGCAGTGATTTAAAGTCACCTGAGATAAAAAAAAAAACCCTCTACCAAACGCCACATAGAATGTATTTTGTGTGATATGAAACACTTTCTGGGAACAGAGCACAGCAAATGCCGCATATATTTTCATCGTCATTTAGGCCGAAGTCTATAAACAACGTTCATTATGAGACGAGCGACAGGATAAGGAGATTTGATCACAACCTATAAACCCAAATGTACTTATTAATAGCTTATGACTGATGTATAAAGCATTATTAACCATTAATGAAGTCACTAGATACGCCCAAACCCTCTATAAAGGGTTATAAGTCAGTGGCACAGCTCAAATATTTGTTATGATCCAAAATGTATTTACTGAGCTACACAGCATTTTGAACATCACTGTTTCGGTTCTATGGAGATAAAAAAGAGTGCCAATATTGCATGGTCATTACATTTTAAACAATTTTAAAGCTAAATTAGTAGGAGACCAAATTCAATTGTCCCAGCACAATCCACAAGTTGACCAATCAGACGTGTTGGAATAAAAGTGCAAGAAGAAACCAGTGTAAAGGAAATATTGGTTGTTCCCAGAATAATGGCGGTCCAGAGTGTTTTCAAGCATCAGACGATTCAAGATTCAAGGCTTTTATTGTCATGTGTGCGTAGCTACAGTGTAGATATGTCAATGAAAATCTGAGGTCACAGGCTCCTCCTACAGTGCAACACAATAAAACAGATACGACTGATCAATAATAAACCTGTCTGGACTCCATGTGAGGTGCTTCGTTGCCGCTGATGCCTACCGTTTCTTTTCTGTTCTCTTTTCTGTTTTTTAAGTGTTTTATTAAGCAGCGGGCTCGACTCGCCTCTCTTCAATGTCGCTTTGATTTCTCTGACTGATGCTTGTTTACATTTAGTGTGTATTTTCATTTAAAGTTCTACTCCGGCATACATTTCACCTCTCTTCCCGCTGTACAGTAACACATGGCAGTGTATCGCTGAGTGTAAATAGCAACATACATCTAGGGGTGTGTAACTTTACGAAGAGGCTTCTGAGAGCATTTTAAGGGTGGCTTGGTAGTAAAGAATTTGAAAAACATGTAAATAGTGTGTAAATAATATTAATTATTATTATTACTACTGCTCATTGTCTGCAGTTACATTGAAGGTGCATTCAATGCTCCCCTCTGATATTTACATAATCATGGACTGCTTCTCTCTGCCTCTGACAGAAATGAGTTATCATAGGAACTAGAAATGGACTGTAAAGTTGACTTGTTTCCCAAGATGCACCTGTTCTCTCGTACCCACAGCCCACTTTTAAAGTCAACAAAAGGAAGGAGTGCTCTTATTTTATTATGCATTCTGTTTCTTAAGTAGACAAAACCCTATTGATGTAAAACTAGTACTGTGACGATGTTGAGAACGCAAAATAAAATGATATATTGTAAAACCTGAGCTGACTGTCACTACTTGCAATGCCATTTTCTTGTCTCACTTGAATGACTGGGTGTATGGACAAAACTTTCTGTAGATTTTTCTACCAAGTAGTGGTTTGACACACCTAGGAACACAAATATATTTGTATACTTTAAAAGGGTTAATGGTCCTAGTGTCCTTTAGTACCACACTCACTCGAAAGGGGTCCGAGGAAAGACTACATTCATACCTGCAAAACATGACATCATTTTAGAATCCTAGAAGTGCACCTACTGAATCAATATTTATATTATAAGAGGAATCAGTGTTAGAATCATAGGTTTTAATTAATACTCGATTCTGATTGGTCACTTTTCGACATTCAGAGGTCTGCTCTTTCTAGATAGCAGGCCGTTGCTAAGGAGAGTAGACCGTTGCTAAGGAGGAGGCTCCAATCAAGGGACTACAGTACTACAGAGGACACTAATGCTGCGTTCACACCGGAAGCGATGCAAATATTTGCTTCGCTCTAATCGCATCGCTCTAAACGCTCGAGTTTCACCGCGGCTGTCAGCTGTGTTTACTCGCACCATTCAAACAAGACGCGCTGGCTAGGGGGCTACAACTACAACAAAATTAACATATTTTACCGTGATTTAATTGTAATACACGTTTCAAAATGATGCCGAAGTAACAACATACTGATACCGGTTAGTACAAACCATGAATTAATGCTTTGACAAGTCTGCAGACAAGACGGCAGGCGAAAAACCTTTTAAAATGTGTGTTTTCTGAATGGAGATCGGATCGATCAGGCTGAGCTAACGTTGTATATGCTCCGTCCACACTCACAAAACCAGCGACTCTCTGTGCTGTTTGCTGTCTACGGGTCTGATTCTGCTGACCACGCCCCCCTGCAGGAGAGGTGAGCCGTGCTCCGATCAGCTGCTGGGCTGTCAGAAGAGGGGGAGAAAAAGAGATCTCCGTGTTTTATTATATAGAGTCGTTATTCATTTGTTTTAAAGCTCAATAAATAACAAAGAAGACCTTTGACCGGCACTTTTCTAATTTTGTCCGGAAGATTTAAACTTTAACGGACGTCTTGACCGGCGAAAGAAACTGAAACTGAAACTCTGCCGCACGGTCCCCTCGTTCCTTGGAAGAGGCAGAGAGGTGGGTGTTTGTCATCTGCTGGTGGACTAACCGGAGAGAATTACAGTGCTTGCCTCGACGGGGAGGGATTGCAATGAATTAAAGCAGCAGGAGCAAACGCTTGCCTCG